AGATCAGGAGAAACTCACATCCACAACATCCTGGGGAACCTACTGTGACAAAGTAAAACCTTTCAGATTAAAGAATGCCATAGCAACCTATCAAAGAGCCATGCTAGGAATAACCAATTCATGGGGGCGGTTGGAGTATCACAGGGGATACTATAAAGTCTGCTACTCGCCTTTGGCAAAAGTCGGCTTTAACTTCATTATCTTAAATAAGGCTTGAACGGGATCTTTTGACTCCTAATCGGGTTGCCCTACCAGGTCTCGCCGGTGTTGCCTATAGATCGTTTTTTTGACACTCCTAGTTGAAGCGAATTTTTTTAAAGATAAAATGGATTATGGGAGTGTGTGACTTGAACTATTGATTGGGCCTTCCAGATTGGACACAAACAAGCGCACCTGCTAAGAAGTATCGTTAATTTCTGCATTCTCGTTCCAAGTTCAAAGTACCATTTGTACAAATAAGAATCCCCTTCGTTACATGATTTCTTCTTCATATAGATAGATATAGGATCTATGGAGCAATTACTTAGAAGTACAAAACTTAGTTAACGCTACCATCTTACTTTTAGTAAGCAAGCGTTTCAATTCCCCGAAAGCTCATGTAATGTCTTATCGAGCCAGTCCAAATCATGCGTTTATGATCCCGGCATACGGAGGGCAAGTATCTCTTGTCGCCTAATCTCAGTACATCTATATTAAGCTTATGGCACGCTTCCGCTAAGGCCTATTTCTTATTGAATTAATCGATCAACTTAACTTGTTTTTGCTATCGAACATTTATTTTTTTTTTCAGTAATTTTTGCAAAATTTTTTGACATATTTTATTATAATATGAAATTCTTTTTTGCTTTCCACAGGGACCAAGAGATTGGATCTAGCTGTAAGAAGAATGCTTGGCTAATTCTCGGTAAACAAAAGCCTACATAGCTGTTCCAATGCTACGCCTTGAACCACTCGACCACTTCTCCTTCCTCTGGATTCATTGTATGCTTTGGATTTTATCAATTGCATTGACCTTTCTTTTTTCTAGGTGACGGCACCTGGAACCGCACAACTTCTGCTGCCCTTTGGGCACGCCTCATATGCTCTTACGACATGCCCTCTTCAGGCAATATGGCTTTCGTGAGTAATACGCGAAGCAGCTGAGCAATGAGATACGATAGTATGGTAGAAAGATTCAGATATTTCTTTCTACCATACTATTTAGTATTGTAAATTATGGAACTACACCAAAATTACACATTATTTCTGAAACTGAACAAAAATAGTCGCACTATTTTTTAAAATGAACCAAAATAATCTACACTATTTCTGGAAGTGAACCAAATAAACATTATTTCTGAAGTTACAACAAAATAACCCACACTATTTCTGAAACTGAACCAAAATAACCACTCTATTTTTGGAACTGCAGCAAAATATGATAGTATGGTAGAAAGATTCAGATATTTCTTTCTACCATACTATTTAGTATTGTAAATTATGGAACTACATCAAAATTACACACTATTTCTAAAACTAAACAAAAATAGCCGCACTATTTTTTAAACTGAACCAAAATAATCTACACTATTTCTGGAAGTGAACCAAATAAACATTATTTCTGAAGTTACAACAAAATAACCTATACTATTTCTGAAACTGAATCAAAATAATAACCACACTATTTTTGGAATTGCAACAAAATAACTCATATTATTTCTAAAATTGAACAAAAATAATTCACACTATTTTTTGAACTATAATAAAATAACCCATACTAATTTTGAAACTACAGCAAAATAACTACTATTTAAAAAACTGAACAAAAATAATCCACACTATTTCTTAAAGTGAACAAAATAAACACTATTTCTAAAAATACAACAAAATAAGAATGAGGTTGAACTACAAACACCCAAAACAGATCCAAAAAAAAATCCATCTTCTTTCCCAAAACTAAAAACAAAAAGGAAATTAATTACCAAATAACTGTTAAGGTGCCAAATGTATAGAGAAACAGAGATTAATTGGGGGAAATTCCATTTCTAGAAAATTGTTGCAAAAATATATATAATTTGATAATTTAATTAATTAAAAAAATTGGGAGGAGATGGAGAGAATTAGAAGCTTCCACTTGTTGTCACATAAAAGAAAATGAAAACTAACGAAAAGTCCTAAAAAACTTTAGGTTTTAACAAAAATGACAAAATAAATGTGGAAGTAAATAGTACCAGAAGTGACTCTTCAAGGTAAAAATGTCATTTTCTTTAAAGGTGAACAATACCGAAAGTGTTTCATTAAGATTCCCCAAAAGAAAAGTGAAGCTTGTACAATAAAAACCCAGATCAAATTCCAAAACCCACCCCTACCAGTCCACCTCCATCTCCGTGCAAAAATTACAAGTTGCATGCTACTTTTTGTCCTACCTGGTGTCATTTTATTATAATTCCCCCATCTCCTCCTCTCTCTAGAGCTAATTACAAGTTGTACCTTTACCTGGTGCCAGTTTACCTAGTTGCTTTACTGAATTGGGGTTTGCGTCAGCTTTTGTCCGAGGTCGGATGGAACCATTATGACACCATCAAGATAAGATGAAATTCAACTCAAAAGATTTATGCTTTTTACAATTCTTGTTTAGTGATGTTGAAATTTGTTAACATTGCCTTTTATTTGTTGTAAGTAATTTGGCATCAGGGGAGCAACCAGACCATGTCACTATGATTGGTGTGCTATGCGCTTGTAGCCACGCAGGATTGGTTGATGAAGGAAAAAAGTACTTTTACTCAATGAGTGAGGAACATGGCTTGGTAACATTGAAGGATCATTATACATGTATGGTTGACAGGGATGTGCAATGGTTATAGCGAGCGGATAACACCGATTATTTATCCATAACCGTTTATACTCATACATGCATAATCGTTTACACGTTGGGTAATTGCATAAAAGATTATACCCATACCCATAACCGTTTATAAATGGTTAACCATACTCATAACCGTGTACCCATTTACTTATAACCGTGTACCCATTTACCCATAACCGTTTACCTATTTAACCATAATTTACCCGTTTACCCGTTTTGAACCCGTTTATCATTTTTTTTATCCTTTTTTCACCTATCTACATGTTTTTTTTAACAACTTGAAAATTACAAAAAAAAATAATTTTAGTTTTCTGACAATTAAACACCGTTATAGGTACATTTTAGTATGCATTTCTCTATTTTAATCATTTAGGTCATCATACAATTCTAATAATTGAAATAATAGTTTACGAATTATATTTTCTACTACACCCAAGCAAGTCTTTAATTATAATCCATATGATTACAAAGTAAAGCTTCTAAAAACAAACATTTTTCTACACTAATACCAATACTTTCTGTTAATCGCAAGATAGATCATAAGCTTCAAGTCAGCTCTTTGATCTTTCCCCTTGTTGGCTTCTTGTGCTTCAAACTTTTTGTATACGAAAAGTTTAGCAACAAATACAAAAACGCGTTATAACCGTTAAAAATATTATAAATTTTACATATATTAAATTAAATGGGTAAATGGATACCCGTTATAACTGCGGGTAATACCCATAACCAATGGATACCCGTTATAACCGCGGGTCAGGGCCGGTCCAGAGATTTTTGAGGTCCGGGGCGAAGCCAAAAAATGTACCCTCACTTTATATAAGAAAATTATTTGTTTTCACATGTAAGACAACAATAAAATTATACTTAGAAAAACACTTCAAACTTAATAATTTATAAACACGGAAAAACTAATTTATTTTGTATCGTGAGAAGGAAAAAAAAATCTGGGTTTGCAAGTAGATAGATATGAGTTTTGTTTTCTATCTGAACTTTTAAAGTGTTTTTGTATAAATCGTGAGGTGTTTTTTCTTATTTACTAACCTTGTCAATATGGGACTAAAAAAATAATTATGTTTTTTAGTCTTTAATTGATATGTATAAGTAATAAATGGGTATTAAATTAAACTTTTTTATGACGCGTCATATGATTTGCAAATTTGGTCTAAAAATTTGGTCAACGCATGACTCTTTGTTGAATATTAGACTTGAATTTGAACAAATGTTTAAAAATAACAACCCCGCATAGCTACTAGCTACTAATTAAAATTAAATTAACGAAACAAAATTCATAAAAATTGAAAATAATAAACATGCACTTAGCATTTCGAACTTAGGAGCTCTCGTTAATTTTAAACAACAAAAACCATTGATTCTAATTAAACTTCTTGATCATTTAGTCAAATTTTATATATTTATACTCTTATGATGAAAATAAATTTGTAAAAATTAAAAAAATAAATAAGCACACATGGTGTTTTGAACCTAAGACCTCCTCATTATTTTCAAACAACAAAACCACCAATGCTAGTTCAATTTCTTTGCTATTGAACCAAATTTTATAAATTTATATTCTTATGAAAACATATATAAATATGTCGCCCTAATAATTTTGGTGCCCCCAATTATTTTGGGCCCTGGACGGTCGCCCTGCCAGCACTGGGACTGGGCCGGCCCTGCCGCGGGTAATACCCATAACCGCCTATTTAAATTTCACGGATAAATAGTTATACTCATAACCGTTTGTTCATCTAAACGATTATCCATAATCGTAACCATGAACTTTAAATAGGTGGGTAACCGCGGTTACCCAAATCCATGGGTATTTTTCCCATCCCTAATGGTTGATCTGCTTGGTCGAGCTGGCTGCCTTATTGATGCCAAAAATTTGATAGAGGTCATGCCAATGCAACCTGATCTGTTATATGGGGGTCTTTGCTTGCTGCTTGTAAAGTTCATCGTAACATTACCTTAGGGTAGTATGTGGCCGAGAAGCTCTTAGATATTGAACCTAGGAACTCTGGACCATATGTTCTTCTCTCAAACATGTATGACGAGCTTGGGAGATGGGCTGATGTTATACGAGTAAGGAAGCTGGTGAGGCAACGGGGAGTTGTCAAGCTGCCAGGTTGCAGTTGGATTGAAATACAAGGTCATGTGCATGTTTTCCTGGTGAAAGATAAAAGGCATCCTCAAAGGAAAGAAATACATTATGTTTTGAAGTTGCTTCTTGAACAGATGAGTCGATGTGGATATGTCGAAGATGCTTGTGATCTCGAGTCAGATGAAGAACATGGTGAATCCCAACTAACCTCATTGTACCACATCGATATGTTGGAAGATGCAGCAGTCGGGTGATTTTCCTCGATAAAATTAGGTAAATACTCATCTTCATTCTTGGAAACGAAAAAGAAAAGAAAAGAAAGCTCACAGAGTAATGTCATACTTTTTTGTTATCACGCCTATGTTTCTTCTTTTCGATTTATGGTGGACGATCATGCATTGGGTGCAAAAGAGAGAATCTCTTAGTTTTGGGGCAGATTATAGTGAGCTTCTTTAGTAATGGACCCATTAAATGATGATTCAGATTTCTCCTTGGATGTAAGTAGTGATTTTGATTCACCTGAAATGTCGTCGTTCATATCACGGTTTATATGCAGAGGGCAAGATGCAACTGAGGTAAAGTCTAAATCTCCTACACAGGCATACAGCCTTCCCTGGTTTTGCATTTTCAGATTTCAGAAGGCATACAAGTTATCTGTCGCCTGACTTATGGGATAAATTGCCATTCTAAGTTTCATACCAACCGAAGGCTGTCCATAAGAATGGAAGGCGATCCCCATCCCTTTACCGAACTAAGGCCTAGTTTGGTACTAAGGTGATTCTGAAAAAAATGGGTATCAAAAAAAGTTGAGAGCATTTTTGTGTTTGGTAAACATTCAACTTCAACTTTTTTTCACAGTTTTGGGTGAAAAAAAAGCCAAAAACACATAGCTGCAAAACCCAGCTTTGAAAAACCGGCTTTTTTTTATATATGTTTTACATAAAAGTTTACCAAATACTATAACATTGTTTTTTTTTTCAAAAACATTTTTACAAAAAAATTTACCAAACACTCTGCTGCTTTATTTCACAGCTATTTATTTTTATATTATTGGATAAGTAAATAATATGCCAGGTCATCATTGTACATGTGCAGAACATGTGCACATATAGAGTAGTATAAATAGTTACTTTCCTCTTGTATTTGGTAAGGTCGGTGTATAACAAAAACAGTTACAAAAATATATTGAGAGATTCTTCAGTTTCTTCTTCTTCTTCAAGCTTTCTTAGTCTGCATATTTCTTGATTTCTATGAAGTACTTCCTTGTAGTTAAGATGGTATCGAGAGCCGGTCTTGCTTGCGCAATGGGTCTGGTTTCTGGGTTTCGCTGCTTCGGTTGGTGATAAGGTGATATTGTTTCACAAATTCTCAAGAATTTTTCTTAGATCTGGAATTTTTTTTTAATTGAAGGCCGATGCCAATTTGTTGTGAATTTTGGGTTTTCTTGCTATAAGTGAATTGATTGAAGGCCGATGCCGAGTGATGAAGTTTGTTTGTGATTCTTGAAATTGTATTGTGATTGGTTGCTCTTGATTCTGTGTTCGAAGTTAATTTTGTACATCTTTCATCTGGGTTCTTTCCACCGACTCAAATTTGATCTGGGTTTTTCTGGGTTCTTCCATTATCTTGGTGTTTGTTACATTTGTTGATATTACAGTGAATTTGTTCTTCCAATCATGGTGAATCAAGTGAAAATTGAAGGTTTGCTGGGTATGCTTACGATCAAACTGAATGATGATAATTTTCTTAAATGGAGTTTTCAGTTTGGCTCTGTTTTGCGTGGATATGATCTTCTTGATCATTTCACAGGTGATTCTGTATGTCCTCCCAAGTTTGTTCTCACTCCTGAATTAGGAGTTACTACTGAGGTTAATGATGCGTATAAGGACTGGGTTAAGATGGATATGGCGTTGTTAAGCTTGTTGATTGCTACCCTTAGTGATGATGCAATTGAGCATGTGGTCGGCTGTAAGACGTCTCATGAGGCCTGGATTGCCTTACATGATCGATATATGTCTATTTCTAAAGCTAGTGTCAATCATCTAAAAGCTGAACTACATATTATGCAAAAAGGGGGGGATACTATTGATAAGTATCTGCTAAGGTTGAAAGCACTAAAAGATCAATTACAGGCTGCTGGAGAGAAAGTGTCTGATAATGATCTTATTATTACTGCACTCACAGGTCTACCTTCTGATTATGATACCATTAGAACTGTTATTTTTGCCCGAGAGTCACCCATTACTCTTAAGGAATTTCGCGCTCAATTAATTGGTGTAGAGAAGAGTATTGAAGCCAGAATGAATTCTTTGGTTCAGGGGATGTCTGCTATGTTTGTGAATGCTAATTCTTCTAATAATCATACTGGGGGATCTTCAGGTTCTTCGACTAATCCTTCACCACCTCAATTTTCTCCAAATATTGGCTATAGCTCAACTGGTAATTCTTCTTCTCAGCCAAGTTATCCTTCTGGTAATCAATTTCAGTCGAATAGTTTTTCAGGCTTGAATCAGAATGGCAGCATGTTTGGTATGAATACCTATAGACCTCGAGGTAATGGAGGTTATAAACCAAGGTTCAATAATTCCAGATCTGGTCCAAATTGGCAATCATGGTCGGGCAATACTTCTAACAGGTTTGATCTTGTCCCTGAGTGTCAAATATGCTCTCGCAAAGGTCATGTTGCTGTTACCTGTCGATTTAGAAATGATGGTGGACAGTCTGTACAAGAGTGTCAAATTTGTGGCAAGAGGGGTCATATTGCATTAAACTGTCGGCATAGAGGCAATTATGCGTATCAAGGCGCTCAACCTCCTCCTTCCTTATCTGCTAACTATGCATATCAAGGTTTTCCTGTGTCTTCTCAAGCTAATATGGGAGTGGTTTCTTCTCAGTCTCAGTTTTTGAATAACAATCAACCTCCTCAATATGTGCATAACAGTCAGTCTCCTTCGTTTGTGCACTACAATCAGTCTACACAGTTTACCTCTCCCTCTATGTCATCTCCACCTGGTTTTCCAACTATGAATGCACAATCTTCTGCTGCCACTGCAAATGGAGATTCCTGGATTCTTGATACTGGTGCTTCTCACCACATGACACCCGATTTGACAGTACTTGCTCAATCTACCCCTTATGCAGGATCCGAGAAGATAATAGTGGGGAATGGTGAAGGTTTGAAAGTTCAAAATATTGGTCATGGCACTGTGCAAACTCCTTTTCATGTTTTACATCTTAAGAACATTTTACATGTGCCAATGTTGACTGTGAATCTGTTGTCTGTTAAAAAGTTGTGCAAAGACAATCATAGTTGGTTTATCTGTGATGATATTCAGTTTTTTGTGCAGGACAAGGCAACTGGGGCGATCCTCCACCACGGAAAGAGTAGCAATCATGAGCTGTTTCGAGTCCCTGTGCATATTTTTCCCAATTTACTGGATCAAGGTGCGGGTTCTGCTTATTTGGGACAGTGTGTGACATCTTCCTTGTGGCATCAACGTTGTGGTCATCCTTCTAATGACATATTGAAAACTATGCTCAGAGAATCAAATATAGTTGTTACTTCTGATGAAAATGTCAAACTTTGTTCTCATTGTCTTGATGGGAAAATGAGTAGACTTCCTTTTTCTGATAGGATTGATAGAGTAGATATTCCCTTTTACAAAGTCCACAGTGATGTATGGGGCCCTTCTCCAGTTGTTTCAGTTGAAGGGTTTCGATATTATGTGTCTTTTATAGATGAAGCTACTCGATTTGTATGGATTTTTCCTATCATGAATAAATCAGAAGTTTTTGGTTCCTTTGTCAAATTATGTGCATATATTGAGAATCAATTTCATACTAGAGTTAAAGTGTTACAATCTGATGGTGGTGGAGAATTTCTTAGTCATGCTTTCAAAGAATTTTTGGCAACACATGGTATATTACATTTTATCTCTTGTCCTTACACACCTCAGCAAAATGGATTAGCTGAGCGGAAGCATCGACATCTTATTGAAACAGCTATTACATTGCTATTTGTGGCCAAGTTACCTCACAAGTTTTGGTCTTATGCAGTCAATCATGCTGCCTTTTTTATTAATAGGATGCCATGTAAGGGTCTTAATATGCTCTCACCTTTTGGGAAGTTGTTTGGCAAGAAACCAGACATAGCTAATCTCAAAGTTTTTGGTTCTGCCATCTATCCTTATCTTCGGCCCTACAATACTCATAAGTTGCAGCCTCGATCAACCCAATGTGTGTTTTTGGGATATTCACCAGGTTATAAGGGTGCTATCTGCTACAGTATATCCAATGGGAAAGTTCTTATTTCTCGTCATGTCATTCATGATGAAACTATATTTCCTTATAGACATGTTGCTTCAACTGCTACAGATGCTACTTCTTCCCTGTCTTCTGGTCACAGTAGTAATACAAGTCCTATTATTGTAAAGTTACCTTCTTTCATGGATCATTCTTCTAGTCTTGATTCCAGCAATGCTTCTCCACGGGTTTCAGTCACTCCATCACTTGGTTCTACATCCCAGCATCATGTTTCTTCGAGCTCTTTGGAAAATGTACAGGACTCTACTACGCATGCTACTTTTTCCAGCCTTATGTTGCCTGTCCAAGTTGAGTTACCTCCTCTCCATTCTTCTAGTTCTCCTCGCACAGGTAATACATCTATTTCACAAGGAATTCAAACACGGTTACGAACTGGTACCATAACCAGAAAAGACTACTCCGCCTTAACAGCTATATTCCCAGAAGTGCAGTCTTTGACTCTTGAGGATGATGATCACTTCTCAGGGGGTTTCACCTTTGTTGCTGATATTCTGGATGTTTCAGAACCGTCTACTTTCAAACACGCATCTCAAATCCCACAGTGGCAAGTGGCGATGCAAGAAGAGTTTGATGCTCTTCAAACTCAAGGTACCTGGGTTCTTGTTCCTGCTCCTTGTGATAAAAATGTTATAGGCAGTAAATGGGTATACAAAGTTAAAAGGAATAGTGATGGTTCCATATCTCGATATAAGGCTAGGCTTGTTGCTCAAGGTTTTAGCCAAGAAAAGGGTCTCGATTATACCGAGACTTTCAGTCCTGTTGTTCGCCATACTACTGTCCGGTTGATTTTATCTTTAGCAGCTATACATCAGTGGGATCTTCGTCAATTAGACATCAAGAATGCTTTTCTTCATGGTGAGTTACAAGAGGAGGTTTATATGAAACAACCTCAAGGTTTTGTTAATTCTCAGTTTCCCACACATGTTTGTAAACTGGTCAAATCTTTATATGGCTTGAAACAAGCTCCTCGAGCCTGGAATGAGAAGTTTACTAGTTTTCTGCAAGCCATTGGTTTTGAAGCTTCTCTATCCGATTCAAGTTTGTTTGTGAAGACCGATGGGGTTCATGTGGTTATTTTACTCCTTTATGTCGATGACATCATACTCACAGGTTCTAGTACTTCATTGATTCAGTCTGTGATTACTACTCTCAGTGAGGTTTTTGATCTTAAGGACATGGGCAGATTAGCTTATTTTCTTGGTCTTCAGGTCATATATAAGCCGAATGGAGATTTGTTCGTTAGTCAAGCCAAGTATGTCAAAGATCTTCTCCATAAAGCTGGGATGGATGATTGTAAGTCGTGTTCAACTCCTTGCAAACCACATAATCAAATCTTGACTACTGCAGGTAACTTGCTTCCTGATCCTACCTTATATCGGAGTTTAGTTGGAGCCTTACAGTACTTGACCTTTACTCGTCCCGATATCGCCTTTGCTGTCAATACTGTTTGTCAATATATGAATGCCCCTACTGATGTACATTTTGGAATGGTGAAAAGAATTCTGAGATTTCTCCAGGGCATAATTCATTGTGGTTTGACATACACTTCTGGAAGTTCTATGCAGTTAAAAGCCTACAGTGACTCTGATTGGGCTGCCGATTTGAATACTAGGCGTTCCATCACTGGTTATGTTGTTTATTTAGGAGATAATCCGATTTCGTGGCAGTCCAAGAAACAATCTTCTGTTTCTCGGAGTTCCACCGAGGCTGAATATCGTGCTTTGGCTCATACTACTGCTGACATTGCTTGGATCAGATTAATCCTTAAGGATTTACATGAATATTTGTTTTCTCCTCCAGTGATCTATTGTGATAACCAATCTGCAATTGCTTTGAGTTTAAATCCAGTTCAACACTCTCGAATCAAGCACTTGGAAACGGATTTTCACTTTGTCCGTGAACGAGTTCACAAAGGTGACTTATCTGTTGAATATGTGTGTACTAAAGCTCAGATTGCCGATGTGCTCACCAAAGGTCTTCATGGTCTCGATTTTCTTCGTCACTGTTTCAATCTTAAGCTTGGTTATCCAAGCTAAGATTGAGGGGGGGGTATTGGATAAGTAAATAATATGCCAGGTCATCATTGTACATGTGCAGAACATGTGCACATATAGAGTAGTATAAATAGTTACTTTCCTCTTGTATTTGGTAAGGTCGGTGTATAACAAAAACAGTTACAAAAATATATTGAGAGATTCTTCAGTTTCTTCTTCTCTTCAAGCTTTCTTAGTCTGCATATTTCTTGATTTCTATGAAGTACTTCCTTGTAGTTAAGATATATCACAACAAAAACAATTTTTTTTAAAGCACATCAATACCAAACCAACCTCAAGAAACATGGCTTCCATGTCAGTATCGACCCATGGAGACTGATAAAGTTGAGCAAAGAGAGAGCATTGACAGCAGCAGAGAAAGGATTTGAACCACTACCGTTACAGACCAAATGTGGACCACCGATGATGAGCACACATAATAAAAGCGCGGCCACTGCAGGATCAGGCTTAACACCTCTGATATCCAAAGGGTGGATGCCATGGTCACCCGGCGGAAAGTTTTGAAGCCCAAGAAGGCGGCTTTCTGGCTCACCAACCATGTTCTTTGGCTTTGTGCCCTCACCAAAGAACAAGTAGAGAGAAAAAAAAAAGTACAAGTGGAGATAATTTTGACTTGAAATTGACAGAGGCGTAATTTTACATTCATGGAAATGCATGTTAATGTTATTCATGTTGTTCTACATCCAACTAATACTGCATAATAGATGTGGGTGAGGCCAATCGACCAGGGCCGTTCCATAAAGTAGTATAAAATATTGCTTTGTCAAAAACATAATTACTGAGATTGCCTAACATTTGGCATCATCGCCGAGCTCCTCTGTGTGAACAATTATATTTGGCTTCAATGGAATATATAGAAAACTAACTCTAATCAAGAGTGTTCTTTCATAATTAATTGTAATAACGTAACGTGAATATTAAGAACAAAAGTAACATTTTCATACCAAATTATGCAAGAGATTTTTCAGTGTGCCAGAAATACGGCTTGATACACAAGCTGTCATATTACAAGTGGTTTGATACTTGAAAAAAAAAAATTTAATGAATTATACTATGACACTTGTTTATCAGATCATGTTTCCGGCACATTGAAACATTTCTCCTTGGTTTGGAAGCAAACTTGGATGCACCAATAACAGCTGGCAGCCTGGCACCAATAAATAGCCCATCATAAGCCCATAAAAGGCCGAATTACACCATTACAGAAATGAGAATCTTCTCCAACTCGTCAGAGTCGGAACTCAGAAACTCAGAAGAGGGTGAGCGAGAGAGGAAGAGGAAAGATAACAAAGAGAGTTGAACGGTGCTGTTTCGCAAGCCATCTTCTTCCACGAGCCGAAAAAGCTTCGTCCCAAAACCTGCAACTTTCTCCGGGTGAGTTTCATCCTCCTTTTCCCATCTCCTTGGTTTTTTTCATTTTTTTTTCGTTTGGATTTTTCTGTTGCATTTGCATATTCTAATTTTTGGGGGTTTTCGGATACTATGCACGTAGTAATTCAATTCTCATGTGATGTAAATGCCCGTTTGAACCCTTTGAGTTGTTTCAAGATTAATCTTAATTTTAATAATTAATCAAGTTTAGAATTGAAGTTGTCATTGAGTTGTTATTTTAGTTGCTTGGATTAGGAAATATTTCTACAAGCCTTTGGAAAATTAAAGTTTTATCTCAATGGAATTTTGAATGGAATGTTGAATTTCTGTTACTTTGTGTGCTAGCTTGGTATGTGGATTGATCATATGAATTTTGACGAAGTTGTATGGGAGTATGGCAATGAGAGTGCACCGTGTTTCACTCCAACAGAGTGGCGTTTGTTCCTTTGTGGTTGAGTATACGGAATTTATCCCTTCGGAATGATGGATTTAAGTATCTGTGACGGCGGATACATTTGGAGGGAAAGGAGGGTCCGATTGTAGTTGAGGATATGAAAATGGATATTTGAAGTGTTTCACCAAGTTTTGTAAATTTAGGAATCAAAGGAAAAACTAAAATTACAGGACACACTAAAAGTGTTAATAGAGGCCATATTCCCATAACATAATCCACCGCCTAAGTCATGTCCTAGGTTTCGGGCGGGACATAAATGTATTGCTTGAACCGGTAGTTTTCTGGAGCTTTTGGTGAATATACTATGTTCTTATTAGCTTTGTGCTAGAGGCTATGCAATTTGCCCTGGTTTTTTCTGGAGGTCTCAGGAAGATAGTCATGGTCGTTACTTCTTGTGGATTTTATGGTCTTGCATCTTATCATTAAAACACATTCCTTTTCTAATTTTTCTTTACTTTTTCCGTTAAAGTTAGTGTTCAAAAGCTCGACGTTACATCAGTCTTTGCTCTAATTGTAATTCTAATTTTGGTGTTTGCTTTATGCTGTAACAGATGGAGGGAAGTTTTGCTCATGAGCTCTACGCAGAAAGTTTAAGCCTATCAAAAATACAATTGGATGGTGAACCCAGTGCAAACAGTTTAGAAAGTGATCGACAAGGTATTTTAATCGTTTGAAGCACTCTTTTTTCCGTATAACATGGTCCACCTATGATATTCGTTGATGTCATCATATAGTCAGCCGTAGATAAGTAAATGCATAGGTTTTAACTGGTGAATGCATTTAATTTCAGAAAAATCAAATTGTGTAATAAAATTGTGTAATTGGACCCGTAAGTTCCTTCATTCTTTGTTGATTCCTAGGTTGTCAAGGATACCTAATGAGCTGCATTAAATCTTTGTTTTCCTTGGAGCTTATCATACAATGGAGTGTTTTCGTATTAATGCACGTAAAATTTGAATTCAACGTGTGATGTAGTAAATGTGAAACAAAATACTCCAATTAATCAAAACACAGTCATCCATATGCACTCCGATGAGTGAGTATGCTGTCCGATATCACTGGAGTGAGAAAGGTAATCTTTAAAGGATAAATGGTCTAAATTGTCACACTTGTAGTATGTAAATGAAGCTCTTATTTGCCTTTGAGTATTGCTTTTTCAAGGTTTCTGCTTTTGTATTAGTTTTATATCTTCTTGCCCACCACGTAATTCTTCTAGCATATGGCTGTTCTCTGTAGTAAGATTCCTGGGTTTAATGTTTTCTTGCAGACCATGATAGGGTTGAATCGTGTGATGAAGATGGATCTTGGTATGCTTCTGACGATGAATTGCATGAACAATCTGCTTTGGGCCGGGAATGGCAGCGGAGACATAACCAATACCATACGGTTGTTGACAGTTCGGACATACTTTTGTCATGATCTGGGTTTAGTTAGTTGTTTTACATGCATAACTTAGGTAGTTCTCTAATATTTGCCTTATTTATTGATAAATATGTAGACTGGTTACCGTGATGGGGTAATAGCGGGAAAAGAAGCTTCTTCACAAGAGGGATTTAATATTGGCTTTAAGAAATCGGTCCTTGTTGGGTACAACTGGGGTCTTGTCAGAGGTGTTACTAGGTAATATAAAGAAGCAAATATTTTTTTGTTGTAATTTCTCACTTTCGTAAATTTTTGTACTGTTCGGAGTTTCTATATATCTTACTTTAGTTTTGTTTTCTTCTCTATCCATTCTGGCGTATCTTCCATCCACAGTGCGCTGGCTTGCCTTCCAGATGGTTAAAGGAGAAGTTGATTGAAACAGAAGAACAACGAAATGGATTTCAAAGATTGTTTGAATCAGTGCATTCTATGTCAACGAAAGATGCCCTCGGGTATTTGTACGATGATATGATAGCCAAAAAAGATAGAGAACATAGTGAAATTTCTGATACTACCGGTTCTCTTGAAGTTGGCTCGCCAGAGAAAATAGCACATGTTAGTGGCCTAGGCAATCACTTTGCAGAACTCCAGTCACTTCTTGTCAAGTGTCCTGCAGTTAACGTACATATACCGTAGACGAGATTATTGTTTTAATTTTGTGAGTATTTATTTGACATTTGTGAATTTAAGTTCCGAGAGTTATTTGCTAGAGTTCCATATCATAGGAATCTTAAATTTTGAGAAGTGTTTCCAATTGGATTCATTCTGTTTATATATGATCTTGCGGGAAATCTAATTATACTTGTTTTCTTTTGCTACGATGCGATAGTAAGACCTTCTGGATATAAGCAAATTATGAACAACTGAAAGTTATTGTAGCATGCATGAGCAATTTTTCTTTTCCGCGATACAAGTGATACTGGGAGAATCGGGAATTGAATACCGGAACTCGAGAGTGGAGCTAAACGCTCCTAACTGCTTGAGCGACAAGTCAGTTGACACTGGACATGCATATAAAGCAAACAACCATATATATTGTTGTGGAGGCCAGTGCCTCGTGCAACAGTAGAGGATGAAATGGTAGCAAATCACACCATAAAACATTGAACTGTCATTACATATATTGTTAATCAAAGTACACTAGCATGGAGCTGTAGGAGAACCACTCTCGAATCGTCACTGCATGAAGCTGTCTCCTTCCTCTCCAGAAATTCTGAAAGGATCCGAGAACGGTGAGTTGTGTTCTGCTGGAACTGTAGTTCTCCTATATTCTTGTGCCTTTGCTTCAGTAGCTTATAGATGTTGCAGTCTTTTCACCTGCACAACAATATGAGAATGGTTCCCTTTGTTATTTGATGTACGCGCTCATGAACAGATATTAGAATTAATTATCTGAAGGCTTGGAGATAGTGATTATATATTCACCTCAGTAACTATCATCAGCTACAAGCTTGCATAGGTCTTGCGTGACTGAAGCCTGTTGATGTTTTTCCCACTTTGGGCGCTGGCTTGACCGTTTCGAAGGCTGCAACAAGCAGTGCCACCTTCTTCTTCCTTGCAGGAGCAAGTTTTGTGACAGCTTGCTGGAGTGCGTAGTCAAGCATCCATTCATCTGTATTTTTCTTGTTGTCGACAATCTGATGCCTGAGGTCAACCTTTTCTGGTTCGGGGTCAGGAACCAAAGGCAGGTAATTCGGTTCTCTTGGATTGAACTTCCTTTGCTCCTCCCCATCCATGTTGAGTTTCTTGCATTTGATTCTTTTCCAGTAGTTGTAGGTGTTGGGAAGTTCTTGGTCGAAGTTGCTTGCTGCATCAGAAAATTTTCTCTTCATCCCAGGGCTAATGCTATTATTGGCCGTGTTGAAATTTTTTGTGGCTTCTGGCTCTGAATTGTTTTCCACTTCCATGTTATCAGGTTCTCCTGTGTTGTTACCGAAGATATCTGATTTTTTCAGCCTTAAATCGCTTTGATCCTCAGATTCATTGGAACTTGAAATCTTCATGTACTTCCCTTTGGACAGGTTACCATCTTCAGCAATGTCATTTTGCTGGTAAGGCTCAGTCTTCTTGCCATTATCATAATTGTCAACCTTGACAGCATCTTCATCTGTCTCCACACTGGTGTAGTTGCTTTCAACATCTCCAAGGTGAGAGCCGATCTCATGATCCTCTGCTTCAAAACATTCATTTTGTTGTTGAATTTCCTCATCAGTTCCTGTTAGTTTCTCAGTTGGCTCCTCTGCTGAAGATATTTCTATGCAATCTGTATCCGATAGTTCACTGCCTCCTTTGAATGCATCGTCAGTGTAAGAAAGTTGGTCGTAACTCCATCTTTCATACTCATTCCCAGACTCTTGAATCTCAAAATTCTGTTTAATGACATCCTGTTCACTTACGTCACCATCATTCTTCAATAATACATAATAATCCGGAATCATATTATCGCTGTTACCTTTCATTGCGTCGGAGTTGAACAGCGATTCTTCTTGCTTATCAGTGTCTTGAATTTTTGTTGAACACCCGGCATTTGGAACAGATTCATAATCACCAAGCACTGTAGTGGCAAATTGCCCTTCCTCCCACTCCATGTCAATACTTTCAGAACTGGAATAATCCATTTCAGTGCTTGAAAGGTCTTCAGAGTCGCTCTCTTTCAAGCAGCTTCCAGTGGAATTGTCTTCTTGATCTGACAGTGCTCCGTAGTCTTCATCTGCATCTTCTTTTTGGTCTTCTTCAGGAAATTCTTCGAAGCTTTCTGCCTCAGATTCACTCTCCGAATGCGGTGATCTATCCGACGGGTTCTCCACAACTAGGTTGTTGGCATAATTTTCTGTTTCTGCTTCATCACTTGCATCATTTGGAAACGCAGGACCCTCGTAAACTTCTTGTTCTCCTACAAAATCAACTCCTGCTTTCCTTCCAATTGCCTCGGTGCCATCTTCCTCGTTTGTAGCATAGAATTCAACAAAGAAATCCAAAGCAGCTTCTTTCTCTGCAATTTTTTCATCCTCATCAAACAACATTTTCTGCAAATGAATTTCTTTTATTCCATCATTACATCGCTTTGCTCCGCGTGGACTCAGAGCTTGCAATTTCATCATCTTCTGGGTCTTCAACGAACGTCTTCTTGCAGACAAGAAACTCTTCAATGGGGGCACAGGCGAACGATGATGGCCATTAAGAGAACAGTACGTATACGGGCAAACCTTCATGATTGAAGTTCCCTCAGCTTCGGTTCCCCCAGGACTAATCGTCAGATAGTCAGGAAACTTTGCATCCTTCAGTGTTGAAGAACAAGTTGCTCTCTGAACATTCGCATCTGCACAAAGAGCAACCCTGGAAGTTTTTTTCGCCGAAGCTCTTACCGGCTTAAAACTAGGGGACTTCATTAAAGTTCTCACAAGCTGCAAACCAGATGTCCTTGCTAAAACTTCTTTCAGGTTTACTAGAAGCAGAGCCAAGCTTTGAACTGCCTGAATTTTTTCGGTTCTGGTCCTTCCTTGCATGAGAACAGCTGGTGGGCTTCATGTAGTTTGGCGAGCCATAAGTTGTCTTGGTCAGAGGCTGCTTCTGAGGGGAAGCCGCAGTGTTTGGAACATTGAGAGGCTGCGGTGGCGGCCTTCCTGGCTGAGATAAGTTCTTCCTCAAAGGTGATGATCTCAAGCTCTCAACATCTGAAAGCTTGATTGATCTAGCTTTCTTCATCTTCTTCTTCTTCAAATCAGCTCCTCTGTGTTTCCCATCTTGGAACTGAGAAGACGTCTTCAGGCTCGAAAACCGCTTCTCGAATTTATCATGATCAGCTTGGATTCCAAGCTTGTTTGGCACCTTTCTTTGGACCATATTGAAAGGAAAACCAGAAGCAAAGACAATTCAAAGGTCATAGAGGAAAGCGATTCCCTCTTGTCCCATGCTTTGTTTTTGCATGGGGAGATTGCATTGGGAAGGCAGGAAAGGGATTCTTGGAAGCCAAAGAAGCA